ACTGTGCACTTACTCTGGTCAGTTTGATAATGAGTGGGCTTACATAGTTTTGGGTGATAAAAGTTACACTTCAGCAGACAGTCTGTCTCCACTTCTCATGTCTTAGGTTGTTCCACGCCATCTGCCAGGAGATAACGTTTGCCTCTCAGGAAGGGAGAAGGGTAGGAATGAGGCTGAGGAATGCCTCGAATAAACAGACAGAACACGAAAAAGAGAGTGTAAAGGGGGACTCCGCTCCAACAAGGATGAGCAAGTTTGCCACACTAGTCATGTATGCGCTTGGGGTTTTTGGACAGGACCTTGTCTTGTATGAAGTTCCACCGAGGTGTCCTCGTGAATTGAGGAAAGGATATAGACATCCCTTTTATCTCTCCACTTTAGGTCTGGTATCTCTTCAGTTCACAAACTGGCTGACTCTCCCCTTTTGGGTTTTGTGGTGACCAATCTTTGTGGGAAGCCCTTGTGGATGGTCTGTGCCGTCCCACAGATCACAGTTTGCTTGAGATAGAGATGGTTGAAAAGTGGGAGACTTGTGTGAATTATCTACATACAGATGGTGACCCTTCTCGAATAGGTTCTATAAGTTGCCAACAACAATTTTGCCACTAATCCCTATATAGGAAGGGCATCCAGGGGGGTCTAGCTGGCCCTCCTTTCCCTCATATATTTTGAAGTTGTAGGTATATCCTGTGGCCCTGTCACATGCCTTATAAAACTTTACCCCATATCTGGCCTGTCTGCTGGGGATGTACTGTTCAATGCCCAGCCTTCCGGAGAAGTGGACGAGGGACTCATCCACACAAATATTTTTGTCGGGAGTAAACATTTCTGAAAACTTGCAAGAGAAATAAATTGAGTGGCCAAATTTTGACCAGCTTGTCGTAATTAGGATGAATTCGAGGAGGGCACTGAATATTATCGTGTAAAAACCTCATTATCATCTCATAGCGTGTTCTAGGCATACAAGAAGAATAGATGACATGGGATGTATGGACTGAGTGGACCAGTAGGCATGGACTTCATTTTTTTGTCAGTCCCATATTCAATGTAAGTGCAAGAAAAACTTTCAATTCCTCCACAGTAACAGCTTTCCACACAAATGGATGGACTTACAATAAATTGGGATTGTTGGCAATGTATTGGCTGGCATACAGATTGCACCGATCCACAATGTAATTCAGCAAATCATCATCAAAAAATAAATGAAAACAATAAATTGGGGTAACATTTTCCATCTCTATCTGAGGGTCCTGGCTGCGCTGTAAAGGGGGGATTGCAGGTTCTGCAAATCAGCGGGCAGTCATGTGGCATTTAAAAGCAAGTCTTAGAGGCTAGTGTGGGCCCTATCTCATTGTTGTGGATGGGACCCACCGCTACTGGTACAAGGCCTATCACCTGGGAGGGCTGCACTGCTTGTGCTAGTCACTGCACCAGGATTTACAGCACTGCTGGTGGATGCCGGATCCTCCTCAGATCACCGGATACTCTTTACTGTGACTCTCCATCTCAGAATCCAATACTGACCCATTGCTTTCACCTGACTCCTAATCAGAATCTGGGTCTGGCAGTGAGAGCTCCCTTCTACTCTTGTCCCTCATACTCAGAATCTGGGTCTGGCAGTGAGAGCTCCTTCTACTCTTGTCCCTCATACTCATTATCTGGAACATCTCCCCAGTGGGGGATTTTTTAAGACATGGCGTGTGGATGTTTATTACTGCACTGCTGATACTATGACAGATGTTGGTGCTGCACTGCTGATACTATGACAGATGTTGGTGCTGCACTGCTGATACTATGACAGATGCTGGTGCACTGCTGATACTATGACAGATGTTGGTGCACTGCTGATACTATGACAGATGTTGGTGCTGCACTATGACTGTACACTGCTGATACTATGACAGATGTTGGTGCTGCACTGCTGATATTATGACAGATGTTGGTGCACTGCTGATACTATGACAGATGTTGGTGCACTGCTGATACTATGACAGATGTTGGTGCACACTGCTGATACTATGACAGATGCTGGTGCTGCACTGCTGATACTATGACAGATGTTGGTGCACTGCTGATACTATGACAGATGTTGGTACACTGCTGATACTATGACAGATGTTGGAGCTGCACTGCTGATACTATGACAGATGTTGGTGCACTGCTGATACTATGACAGATGTTGGTGCACTGCTGATACTATGACAGATGCTGGTGGTGCACTGCTGATACTATGACAGATGTTGGTGCACTGCTGATACTATGACAGATGTTGGTGCACTGCTGATACTATGACAGATGTTGGTGCTGCATTGCTGATACTATGACAGATGTTGGTGCACTGCTGATACTATGACAGATGTTGGTGCACTGCTGATACTATGACAGATGTTGGAGCTGCACTGCTGATACTATGACAGATGTTGGTGCTGCACTGCTGATACTATGACAGATGTTGGTGCACTGCACTGCTGATACTATGACAGATGTTGGTGCTGCTGATACTATGACTGCACTGCTGATACTATGACAGATGTTGGTGCACTGCTGATACTATGACAGATGTTGGTGCACTGCTGATACTATGACAGATGTTGGTGCACTGCTGATACTATGACAGATGTTGGTGCACTGCACTATGACTGCTGCTGATACTATGACAGATGCACTGCTGATACTATGACAGATGCTGGTGCACTGCTGATACTATGACAGATGTTGGTGCTGCACTGCTGATACTATGACAGATGTTGGTGCTGCACTGCTGATACTATGACAGATGTTTGGTGCACTGCTGATACTATGACAGATGTTGGTGCACTGCTGATACTATGACAGATGTTGGTGCTGCACTGCTGATACTATGACAGATGTTGGGTGCACTGCTGATACTATGACAGATGTTGGTGCACTGCTGATACTATGACAGATGTTGGTGCACTGCTGATACTATGACAGATGTTGGTGCACTATGACTATGACAGATGTTGGTGCTGCACTGCTGATACTATGACAGATGTTGCTGCACTGCTGATACACTGCTGCACTGCTGATACTATGACAGATGTTGGTGCTGCACTGCTGATACTATGACAGATGTTGGTGCACTGCTGATACTATGACAGATGTTGGTGCACTGCTGATACTATGACAGATGTTGGTGCACTGCTGATACTATGACAGATGTTGGTGCACTGCTGATACTATGACAGATGTTGGTGCTGTATTGCTGATACTATGACAGATGTTGGTGCACTGCTGCTGTATTGCACTGCTGATACTATGACAGATGTTGGTGCTGTATTGCTGATACTATGACAGATGTTGGTGCTGATTGCTGATACTATGACAGAGTATTGCTGATACTATGACAGTTGGTGCACTGCTGATACTATGACAGATGTTGGTGCACTGCTGATACTATGACCGATGTTGGTGCTGCACTGCTGATACTATGACAGATGTTGGTGCTGCACTGCTGATATTTTGACAGATGTTGGTGTTGCACTGGGACACTATAAAAGATGTTTATGATCCACTGGGACACTATGGTAGATGTTGTTGATTCACTAGGACACTGACAGATGTTGATGGTCCACTACAGATATTTACAAGAGGTTGACAGTCCACTACGGTTACTGTCAGATGTTGATGGTCCAATATAGACATTGACAGATGTTGGTGATTAATTGCAGACACTGACAGACGTTGATGTTGCAGTGGGACACTATTGCAGATGCTGTGCACTGGTACACTGTGAGATGTTGATTGGACACTAGTACACTGTGACAGATGTTGACAGGACACCAGTACACTGAGAGATGTTGATTGGACACTAGTACACTGTGACAGGTGTTGATTGGACACTAGCACACTGTGACAGATGTTGATTGGACACTAGTACACTGTGACAAATGTCGATTGGACATTAGTACACTGTGACAGATGTTGATTGGACACTAGTACACTGTGACAGATGTTGATTGGACACTAGTACACTGTGACAGATGTTGATTGGACACTGGTACACTGTGTCAGATGTTGATTGGACACAGTGAAACATGTGATAGATGTTGGTGCACACTAGGGACCCTGGCTGGGTAACAATGCTGTATAACTCACTGATCCCTGGATTGCAGGCACAGATCAGCTGAGGAGAATCAGAGCTGATCAATTAAACACCGATCTGTGTTTACATTACATGATGGCTGTGAATGGACACATCCATCATGTGATCAGATGGCCCAATCACAGAGCTCATCTGTTGATCAGGGATGCGCTCTTTTCAAGGGACACAGACACCCTGGGACCACAGCACTGCATGGCCACACATCTATGCTCCCCCATGTTCTGAGGGACATATGGGTACATCCACACAGGACGGAGCTTCCCCCATCTGGCCTATTATATGCAGTGTCCATGTGAGAAGCGATAATTAACATAGTGATTTCCTATGATGGCCAGCTCCATCTAGTGGCGATATGAAGATATTTCAGGAAAATACATCATTAAGGAAAGCCACTAGATGGAGCTGATGATCAGAGGAAATCTCTGTGAATTGGACTGACATTTGTCACAGAGGGGCGAATTCTGGTCACATTTAATAAACACAATTTTAAAAATTGACCTCTAAGTGTTTGTGAAATCTCCCACCACAAAATGTACTCAGCCAATGACAGGGCAGGACTCAATTTTTATTCTTCTTCTGCCATCAATGGCCAACCCGGTCCCACAATTCATCCATGTCTTTGGGGACCTCTGATCTCCTTATGAACTGTTTCTTCCATGATGAAGATCAGCCATGGAGTATATCTGAGGTGTATATCAGGGTGTGCTTCTTCCCCACATGAGAGCTGGGATGTCCAGCAACATTCATCTAGAAGACATTTCCCACACTCAAGGCACTAATACACCTCCAGGGTTGTGTGGGACCCCTGATGTACAGGAAGACAGGACTTCACTGAGGAACATTTCCCTCACTCAGGACAGGAAAGTGGCTTCTCAACCTGTGTGAGATCTTTGATGTCTGAAAAGATTGGACTTGTCTGAAAAACATTTCCCGCACTCAGAACAGGAGTACGGCTTTTTTCCCCGTGTGAGACCTCTGATGTTTGACAAGAGCTGATTTTTTAACAAAACATTTCCCGCACTCCGAACAGGAATATGGCTTCTCACCTGTGTGAGATCTCTGATGATTGTAAAGACTAGATTTACCTGAAAAATATTTTCCATACTCAGAACAGTAATATACCTTCTCTCCCGGATCTCTGTTGTCTGTAAAGATTGGAATTCTTTTAAAAACATTTCCCGCACTCAGAACAGAAATATGGCTTTGCCCCATGTGAGATCTCTCATGTATAACAAGTTCTAAATTTAAAAAAAACATTTTCCCACACTCAGTACAGGAAAACAGCTTCTCACCTGTGTGTAATCTCTGATGTCTAGATTGAGAGGACTTGTTTGAGAAACATTGCCTGTACTCAGCACAGGAATAGAGCTTGTCACCCATGTGCGATCTCTGATGTGTGTAAAGTTGTGACTTTGCTGGAAAACATTTTCCGCACTCAGGACAGGAATATGGCTTCTCACCTGTGTGAAGCCTGTGAAGTGTTTGAAGATTAACCCTTCCTCCCCAGTGCCATTAGTACAGTGTCAGTGTTTTTTTTTTTTGCACTGATCACTGTATTGATGTCACTGGGGATATCAGTGACCCCAAGTCAGTTCCCCCCAGTGTCAAAATGTTCGCCGCAGTCCTGCAGTCCCCCATAAGTCGCTGATCACTGTCATAAATCGCTGATCACCGCCATAAGTCGCTGATCGCCGCCATTATTAGTATAATTTAAAAACAAAATCCCAGTATCTTTCCCGCCATTTGTAGATGCTATAACTTTCACGTAAACCAATTAATTTACACGTATTGGGATTTTTTTTAGCAAAGACATGTCGCAGAATACATTTTGGCCTAAACTTATGACGAAATTTGGTTTTTTACATTTTTTTACTGGACATGTTTTATAGCAAAAAGTCCAAAATATAATTTTTTTTCAAATTGTCAGCCTTTTTTTTTTAAGCACAAAAAATAAAAAATGCACAGGCAATCAAATACCACCAAAAGAAAGCTCAATTTGTGGGAAAAAAGGATGCAAATTTAATTTGGGTGCAGTGTTGCATGACCGCGCAATTGTCAGCTAAAGTAATGCAGCGACATAACACAAACCACTTCTGTAACCGCTTCCTGTCCGCCCTATAGCAGAAATACTGCTACAGGGCGGCATGGGTACACAAAATCACATATATATATATATATACACACACATGATTAGCGCTCCAGTGGTTTTCACGCCCCTCCCAGATGGTGTCAGATTTCCTGTCAGTACACCAGTCATCACATTAAACCCCTTGATTGCCAGGAACACGCTCATGTACAATAAACCTCCATAGTGTCTGAACAAGTCAATATCTTTGAAAAATCGCTGCACGAGTACCATGTGCCATAAAATATTGTAGTACCCACCATTTTATTCACTAGGGTGTTTGCTTTAAAAAAATATATAATGTTTGGGGTTTCCAATTAATTTCCTAGCAAAAAATACAGATTTTTTTCATGTGAACAAAAAGTGTCAGAAAAGGCTTGGTCTTCAGGTGATTAGAAGAGTGAATGAAGTGTGGCATAAACTTCTAATGCTGGGCATAAAATGCCCCCACCCCCCAAAATGACCCCTTTTTGGAAAGTAGACACCCCAAACTATTTGCTGAGAGGCATGTTGAATCAATAGAAGAATTTATTTTTTTACCACAAGTTTTTGGAAAATGACAAAAAAAAAATATATATTTTTTTACACAAAATTGCCACTTAAATGATTTACTGCTCACACATGCCCTGGATATATGTGGAATTACTCCCCAAAGTACATTCTGCTACTTCTCCCGAGTATGGGGGTACCACATGTGAGAGACGTTTTGGCAGTCTAGCCAAGTACAGGACCCAAAATCCAATAAGCACCTTCAGGCTTTTAAAGGTCTTTATTTCCTCATTACACTTCCTGACTCCCTATCACAGTTTCGGAGGCCCTGAGATGCCAGGATAACACCTAACCCCCCAAATGACCCCTTTTTGGAAAGTAGACACCCCAAGGAATTTGATAAGAAGCATGGTAAGTATTTTTTGCAGATCTCATTTGTTGCCACAAGTTTTTGGAAAATGAAGAAAAAAACCAAAAAATATTTTTTCTTTTCTTTTTTTATATTTCAAAACCTTGTAAGAAGAAATGAGATCTGCAAAATACTACCATGCCTCTTTTTAAATTTCTTGGGGTGTCTACTTTCCAGAAAGGGGTCATTTGGGGGGTTTGGTGCTATCCTGGCATGTCAGGGCCTTCGAAACTGTGATAGGTAGTGAGGAAGTGTAATGAGGAAGTTACGCACCTTCAGCTTTTCAAAGTGGTCATTGGATTTCTGGCTCCTGTATGTGGCTAGGCTCCCAAAAAGTCTCACACATGTGGTACCCCCATACTCAGTAGAAGTAGCAGAATGTATTTTGGGGTGTAATTCTACATATACCCATGGCTTGTGCGAGAAATAAATCATTTAAATGACAACTTTGTGTTAAAAAAAATGTTTTTGTAATTTTCCAGAAACTTGTGAAAAAAACAAAATCTTCCATGGACTCAATATGCCTCTCAGCAGATAGCTTAGGTTGTCTACTTTCTGAAAAGGGGCCATTTGGGGGTGTTTGTACTATCCTGGTATTTTAGCACCTCAGGAAATATGATGAGCAGTCAGAAAGTAAAAGCTGTGTAAATTCCATTACTATCCCATAGTTTGTAGATGATATAACTTTCACACAAAGCAATCAATATACACTTATTGGGATTTTTTTTAACCAAAAACATGGAGCAGAATACATTTTGGCCTAAATTTATGATGAAATTTTAGTTTTTTTGGACATTTTTTATGACCGAAATGAGAAAATATTGTTTTTTTCAAAAATGTTTTTTTTCTTCAAAATTTTTTTGGTTATAGCGTGAAAAATAAAAAGCGCACAGGTGATCAAATACCACCAAAAGAAAGCTCTATTTGTGTGAAAAAAAGGACATAAATTTAATTTATGTACCGTATTGCATGACCGCGCAAATGTCTGTTAAACTAGTGCAGTGCTGTATAGCAAAAAAATGTCTTAAATTGCAGTATCTCTCCCATAGTTTGTAGACGCTATAACTTTCACACAAAGCAATCAATATACACTTATTGGGATTTTTTTTACCAAAAACATGGAGCAGAATACATTTTGGCCTAAATTTATAACCAACTTTGAGTTTACTATATATTTTTTATAGCTGAAAGTAAAAAATATTGTTTATCTTCACAATTCTTGGTATTTTTTTGTTCATAGCGTGAAAAAAGAAAAGCGCACAGGTGATAAAATACACCGAAAGAAAGCTCTATTTGTGTGAGTTTCGTTTGGGTGCAGCATTGCATGACCCGCGCAATTATCAGTTGAATTAGTGCAGCGCCGAGTAGCAAAAAGAGGCGTGGTCATTAAGGGGGGTAAATCCTCAGGAGGGCAAGGGGTTAAATAGATCAGTTACTGGTCCAACAACTAGACTTCGAAGTTCTCTGAGATCTCTGGGATGATCCATCACGGCCCATTGATTTATTAATCTTTAACTGAGCCAGTTCCTCTGCTGCCTCTGTCTCCGGAAATCCTAAAAATGATCCATCATTACTGGAACCAATATGATCTCCCAACTTATTATTGTTAGTATAATTTATTTCTGAGAAGACGGAACAAAAGTCAGCACTATCAAACTTTGAATGACAATTGCGCGGTCATGCAACACTGTACCCAAATGAATTTTTTACCATTTTTTTGAGACAGATAAAACTTTATTTTGGTGGTATTTATTCACCACTGGGATTTTTATTTTTTTTTGTTATATAAATGAAAAAGTCAAAAAATGTTGAAAAAAAGTGTTTTTCTTATAAAATGTTGCAAATAATCTCTCATCATAAATCTTGGCCAAAATGTATTCAGTTATCTATTTTGTAAAAAAAAATAACCCAAAATAGTTTCTAGCCAAAAATTTTAATTAAAAAAAATGTTTTACATTGTTATTTTATTTTTTATATTATTATTTATGTTTTTTTTAACATACTGTCATCCTAGCAGTACAGTGTCACCATGGTGACACTATACTACTTGTGGGGGGGTGATGGAGATTTTTTTCTTTTTACACTGATTGCTTTTACAAAGGCTGTAAAAGCAATCATTTTTCTTTCTCTCGCTGCATTCTTGCAGCCATTGAGAAATACTGTGAGAGCTGTGATTGGTCACAGCTTGTCACATGGTACAAGGCTGTTGTGAATTGCCCTGTACCATGTGACCTCTGTGATCATTCACAGATTTCACACGTAGTAAGCAATGATGTCAGAAGTGACATCTTGCTTACTACTATTCATGTGATCACTGATTGGCCAATCAGTGATCACATGATTGGGACCTCACACAAAGGTCCCGTACAGCGATCAGGACACAGCGGGCACTGGATTGTGGTGCCACACGTTCCCAGGGAGCGCGCACAGGCTGAAATTGCGGGCGCCATTTATGAACGGCAACCCGATCCTGCACTGCTCCTGTCCGGCTGTTTATGTACATGGGCCGGACGGGAAGTGGTTAACTGATTTGCTACATCCAGGTCTCCCCCAACACAGGTGTGGTGCCCAGTTTTCATTTTAGTGATCCCATCGTATTTTTTCTATCACTAATGTACCTAAAAAGGTTTTATCTCACTATTAGTTTAGCAATTTCCTCCTGTGTTTTTTAGGCTTTGATGATGCTTCTGTGTTGCTTTTTGAATCTTTAATAAAGCTTGGCAAATGTGTGTGCTGATTTTTGATTTGTTTTAAAAGGGCCAGTATAACCCCAGATTACTAGTACATCCACTCAGCAGATCCCCAGCTCATTAGTACCCATGTTTAGCAGATCCCCAACTCATTAGTACCCGTGTTCAGCAGATCCCCAGCTCATTAGTACCCCTGTGTTCAGCAGATCCCCAGCTCATTAGCACCCGTGTTCAGCAGATCCCCAGCTCATTAGTACCCCTGTGTTCAGCAGAGTCCCTTTTCTCAGTAGTATCCCAGATCTGCTGAGGCCTCGCTCACTAGTAAACCCATCTTTTCTGATCCCTCAGTCAGTAGTAACCCCCAGCTCTGCTAACCCCCACTCAGTTGTAACCCTCAGCTGTGCTAACCCCCACTCAGTAGTAACCCCCAGCTCTGCTGACCCCCACTCAGTAGTAAACCCCAGCTCTGCTAATCCCCACTTAGTAGTAACCCCCAGCTCTGCTAACCCCCACCCTGGGCTCTGCTAACCCCCACTCAGTAGTAACCCTGGGCTCTGCTAACCCCCACTCAGTAGTAACCCCCTGGGCTCTGCTGATCCCCCACTCAGTAGTAACCCCCAGCTCTGCTGATCCACAACTCAGTAGTAACCCTGGGCTCTGCTAACCCCCACTCCCCTGGGCTCTGCTAACCCCCACTCAGTAGTAACCCCTGGGCTCTGCTGAACCCCCACTCAGTACTAAACCCTGGGCTCTGCTGATCCCCCACTCAGTAGTAACCCCCAGCTCTGCTGATCCACCACTCAGTAGTAACCCCCAGCTCTGCTGATCCACCACTCAGTAGTAACCCCCAGCTCTGCTGATCCCCCACTCAGTAGTAACCCCCAGCTCTGCTAAGCCTCCACTCAGTAGTAACCCCCAGCTCTGCTGATCCCCCACTCAGTAGTAACCCCCAGCTCTGCTAAGCCTCCATTCAGTAGTAACCCCCAGCTCTGCTAGTCCCCCACTCAGTAGTAACCCCCAGCTCTGCAAATCCCCCCCACTCAGTAGTAACCCCCAGCTCTGCTAACCTACACTCAGTAGTAACCCCCAGCTCTGCTAATCCCCCACTCAGTAGTAAACCCTGGCTCTGTTGATCCCTGGGTCAGTAGTAACCCCCAGCTCTGCTAATCCTCCACTCAGTAGTAACTCCCAGCTCTGCTAACCCCCACTCAGTAGTAACTCCCAGCTCTGCTAAGCCCCAACTCAGTAGTAACTCCCAGCTCTGCTAAGCCCCACTCAGTAGTAACCCTGGGCTCTGCTGATCCCTGGGTCAGTAGTAACCCCCAGCTCTGCTAAGCCCCAACTCAGTAGTAACTCCCAGCTCTGCTAAGCCCCCACTCAGTAGTAACCCTGGGCTCTGCTGATCCCTGGGTCAGTAGTAACCCCCAGCTCTACTAAGCCTCCACTCAGTAGTAAACCCCCAGCTCTGCTAACCCCCACTCAGTAGTAACCCTGGGCTCTACTGATCCCTCACTCAGTAGTAACCCTGGGCTCTGCTGATCCCTCACTCAGCAGTAAACCCCAGCTCTGCTAATCCCCCACTCAGTAGTAACCCCCAGCTCTGCTAAGCCTCCACTCAGTAGTAACCCCCAGCTCTGCTGATCCCTCGCTCAGTAGTAATCCCAGCTCTGCTGATGCCCCACTCAGTAGTAACCCCCAGCTCTGCTGATCCCCCTCTCAGTAGTAACCCCCAGCTCTGCTGATCCCTCACTCAGTATTAACTCCAGCTCTGCTAAGCTCCCACTTAGTAGTAACCCCCAGCTCTGCTAAACCCTCAAACAGTAATAACTCCCAGCTCTGCTGATCCCCCACTCAGTAGTAACCCCCAGCTCTGCTGATCCCCCACTCAGTAGTAACCCCCAGCTCTGCTGACCCATCACTCAGTATTAACCCCAGATCTGCTGATCCCTCACTCAGTAGAAAGCCCCAGCTCCACTGATCCCTCAACTTAGTAGTAACCCCCAGCTCTGCTGTTCCTCTGGTTTGCTGATCCTCCTTTCTCTGGTCCCCGCTCACCTCACACTATATTGTGCTCATGTTGTGACATTGCTCATTCTCCTGGCCTTTCTCCTGCTCCAGTTCCCCAGCTCTCCTGATCCTCTGACAGTCAGTCCTCCCTTTCTGGTCCCCATCCACCTTCCGCTATAGCCTTTCCATGTTGCACACCACATGTGACGTCTGCTAGTTCCTCCACTCCAGTCAGACCCAGCTCACCTTCCCACCACTCCATGCTGCACACCAGATGTGACATCTGCACCAGACACTCCCAGAATATATACACAGGAATCAGAAGTGAGTGCTGGTGACATCTTTCTGGTTTGCTTGTTGGTTTCCCGTGCATCCCGGGATATCTCATACCTGCAATACCTCCAAACCAAAAGCTGAATAAAAGCTGCAGGCACTGTTAGCGAGATTTGTCACAGACTTCTATGGAGGCTTTGGAGACACTTTGAAGCACCAAGAAAGTTACACGGGGATAATTATTGAAGCAAAGCAAACACAACGTGTGAACAGGACTGTAAGGGGACCATTTTATTTAATGACAGCGGCTGTGATTGGCATAGAGAGTTTTTTAAAAGAATGTCCAATGCCACATTCTGAAGCCAAGTAAACGAGCCCAACGTTCACACAGAATAAATATTATACACTGATTGGAGTTTTTTTAACCAAACAAATGTAGCAGTATATATGGAGTATATCTGAGGTGTATATCAGGGTGTGCTTCTTCCCCACATGAGAGCTGGGATGTCCAACAACATTCATCTAGAAGACATTTCCCGCACTCAAGGCCCTAATACACCTCCAGGGTTTTGTGAGATCTCTGATGTCTACAAAGACTGGACGTTGTTGAAAAACATTTCCCGCACTCAGTACAGGAATACGGCTTCTCCCCCGTGTGAGATCTCTGATGTGTGAAAAGACTGGACTTGTCTGAAAAACATTTCCCGCACTCAGAACATGAAAATGGCTTCTCCCCCATGTGAGATCTCTGATGTCTGTAAAGACTGGATTTCTCTGAAAAACATTTTCCACACTCAGGACAGGAATGCGGCTTCTCCCCCATGTGAGATCTCTGATGTTTGTAAAAACTGGACTTGTCTGAAAAACATTTCCCACACTGAGGACAGGAATACGGCTTCTCCCCCGTGTGACATCTCTGATGTGTGTGACAAGTACTGATTTTTTAACAAAACATTTTCCACACTCAGAACAGGAATACGGTTTCTCCCCAGAGTGAGATTTCTGATGTCTGTAAAGACTGGACTTCCTTGAAAAACATTTCCCGCACTCAGGACAGGAATGCGGCTTCTCACCTGTGTGAGATCTTTTATGCGCATCAAGATGGGATTTAAAACGGAAAAACTGTCCACACTCAGTACACGAATATGGCATCTCACCTCTGTGAAGCCACTGATGTATCTGAACATTGGACTCTTCTGAAAAACATTTCCCGCACTCAGAACAGGAATACGGTTTCTCTCCTGTGTGAGATCGTTTATGCACATTAAGACGACATTTGAAACGGAAACATTTCCCACACTCAATACAGGAGAACCTCTTCTCTGTTGGAAGGCTGGCCCGGTCCCGCACAGTCTGAGGTTCCTCAGGATATGAGGAATCCGATGGTCCATCTACACTGGGTGGTGCCGGATGGACTTTGGAGGGAGCCTGGTTTTCTCCTGGACTATACTGTGTGATGTCCTCATCTTCTACTTTCCAGTCTGGAGACAAAGTGAGACAATCCTCGGAGGTTTTCCTCATCTCCCGGCCATGGACTAAAATACAAAGACAAAGAGGATTACTAGACAGGAGCTGATTGGTTCCCCAAACCAGGACTCCGCCCACATCAGGCAGCTCGGTCTCTGAGGAGCTTACAATTCCACCCTCAAGGGAACTAGGAAATGGCTCCTCTGTTCTCCTACCAGGTCATTTCTTTATTCATGGACCTTAGTCAGAGAGTGAGGAAACAACCAGAACTGTCTTTTATAGGAGAGGGACATTGATGAGGGGATTATAGGACGAGGGTCCCCACCCCCTCTATCACTCATCGCCATCTTCCCAACACAAGAAGTACTAAACTTCCTTATTTAGTCCATGATTTAGTCATGAAGAACAGCGGGGCTGAGCCCCACCAGAGGTCAGAGAGTGAGGATGGGGGGAGAACAACCAAGATGAAGACTGGACTGATCCTGAAGACCACTATCATTGGGTTTACACAGTGTAATGGTCAGGACTCATAATATTGGTATTCAGTAATCAGTGAAAGCTTAAATATTTACTGTAGACAAGTTGCAGAGATCCCACACCGCTGCCTCCCATCTCCTGAGACTGCACTCAGTGACTCTGGTTTGAGAATATATAGACATATCCCTCCACCTGGCACAGCAAACAAAAGAGTAAGTAACCCGGGGAGAATTGCTCTGTCAGAGATTTTACCCAGGCATGAGGAAGAAGACCCACAGAACAGGTCCCAGATAACTCAAAACCTATGCTGAAATGAACATTTTGCTGCCAATTGAACCCCAGAACCTCCATAAATCCAGTCTTAGATACATAAATTGTGTCTGCAGCACAGAGAAGGAAGATTATCCGAGAGAAATCCAGGAATACAGGACGGGGAACACAGCTCAGGAAAGTGACCAGGGGATTACAGGCTGATATCACCCAGTCCCCCGCCCTACTCTGGACCAATCAGTGAGCAGTATGGGTGGAGGAATGGATTTAGTGTTCATGACCCACCTGTGCTGATCTCTGTAGGAGTGTCCTCCTCTATAAATGTCCCCGTTATTCCATCCTCCTCCATAGACTGCTGATCATCCCTCACATACGCCTCTTCTTCTTCTGATTTAACATCAAATTCTATATTTATCAGATCTTCACTCTAAATCAAGAAAATGAGAGAAAATATCATCTGTAAAATATAAGATTTATGATTGTGACATCACATAAAAAAACCTTAGATTGTCTCTACAAGTCCATGTTCTAGATGCTCTACCCCACCAACCTTGTAAAGGTGAGGGATGTGTGACCTTCCTGTGTGGAATCCCGGGAATACAGAGGACGGGGACATCTCTCTGGTGGGTTCCTGGTATTAGGTGGCTCCATCATATCCTTGTGTCCTTCTGAAAACTCCTCCATCACTCCATACTCCTCATCCTCCTCTTTATACTCTTCTTTAACATCAATATTATCATCCCCGAGGATTCCACTCTGAAAGATATAATAAAACATTCATTGTAACAAACATGCTGTGTATAAATAACAACCAGGGGTGGACTGAACATTTGGAAACTCGGGCACTGCCCGAGGGCCTGGGGTCAGTAGGGGGCCCCATGAGATGCCTCTGGTACTTTTTCATAGGCTTTTTGGAGTTTGGGCAAGGACATAGGGGCTCCATGATCCCCTATTGCCCGGGGGGCCCCATAAGTTGTCAGTCCGCCCCTGAATACAACTACCAATAATTGTCAATCATCTACCTGATAATGGTGAGGGATGGTGTGACCTTCCTGTGTTGAATCCCCGGGAATACAGAGGATGGGGACATCTCTCTGGTGGGTTCCTGTAGCTGGATGACTCCACCATGGTGTCCTGGTACAGATCTTTGTGTTCTCTTAGAAGTTCTGAGTCCTCCATCCCCCCATCCTCATCCTCTTTTATCTCTTCGATATCAACTTTAGAATCTCTCAGGTTTCCACTCTGAATATATAATAAAAATGACATCAATGGTAACAATGCAGATAATGTACAGATCCTAATGATACTATCAGTGATTGTTCCTCATCTACCCGATGATGGTGAGGGATGGTGTGACCTTCCTGTGTGGAATCCCGGGAATACAGAGGACTGGGGACATCTCTGTGGTGGGTTCCCATGACTGGATCCATCTGTAGGAAACACACACACTGACTGAATCCATTGTTTCTATGTGTTTATCAGATGATGGGGGATCTAGGTGGATCCTCCGTACTGCTCTCTCCTTTACAATAAAGTCTCCTCTTACCCGGTGATGTGAGGGGCGGCTGATTGTCCATCATGACGTCCTTGTAGAGATCCTTGTGTCCTTCTAAATACTCCCACTCCTCCATGGAGAAATAGACAGTGACACCCTGACACCTTATAGGAACCTGACACACACAATGATACAGTCACCATCCAGACACATCCCTTGTCTGTTACTGGAGAATGTCCCAGAATTCCCGGCACCGCTCACCTCTCCTGTCAGCAGCTCAGTGATCTCTCTGGTGACTTCAAGAATCTTCTTCTTCTTTCTCTCTTCTATCAGGGAGGGAGGTGGAGGCAATGTGATGTCATATGATCTCCAGACGTTCTGGTGCCAAGTTTCTCCCCCCAGGGTCACTGCAGGTGTGGAGAAAAGCTGTGTAAGAGGATATGGAGGAGAGATGAGGAGGAGATCCAGGAATCAGGAGAAACGTCAGGGCAAGCAACAGACAAGTATGAAGACAAGGCGGTTGGCTGCACAAGCAGTGATGTAGGGGATAAAATCCTTTGTTGAAATCCTTTACACATAATGTAGTAAAAACATGACAGCTCCAAGTGCACCTGTCTTCATACTTCACCTGTGATCACGGACCGGGCCGGCACCTACGTGTCTGTGGAAGGTTATACAGATTCGGTACTCACTTAGAGCCGTCTTTTGTTTTTCCTGTAAGCCAGCTTTGGGAGCAAGATATATTATCAACTCCTCCCCCTGAAGGGGTTAATCTAAATATTACCTCCTCTGCTGCCAGATCCAGGAATGTCTCCTTTCTGCTTCCTCATTCATGGAATTTCCTGTCTGTACCTGACATCACTTCCTGTCTTCTATAGAGACTGCCTGTCTGGGTAGAAGTGAGACCCCCACCTTGTGGAGCTCAGAGAGGTCAAAAATCCCTCCCCCGAGCAGTCATATATTTCTGTCCCCCCTTGGTGGGAGTGGAAGTGACCCCTCTATAAGGATCTACAGTCCATACACACCCAGCACAAGGCCGGGGTCACACTACCAGATGCTTCTCGGGGCTGCAGTTCCTCTGACTTCTACCCAACAGGAAGTCTCTATGGATGACAGACAGGAAGTGATGTCAGGTACAGACAGGAAGTAGAGAGGAGACGTTGGTGGAAGTGGCAGCAGAGGAGGTAATAAGTTGTTATGTTCTATTTACACCCAGTAATCTATCATTCCCCGTCATGTTCGTCCTCTTCCTCCCATAGTCACGTCTTGTCCTCTTCCTCCATGGTCACGTCCGTCCTCTTCCTCCATAGTCACGTCCGTCCTCTTCCTCCATGGTCACGTCCGTCCTCTTCCTCCATGGTCACGTCCGTCCTCTTCCTCCATGGTCACGTCCGTCCTCTTCCTCCATGGTCACGTCCGTCCTCTTCCTCCATGGTCACGTCCGTCCTCTTCCTCCATGGTCACGTCCGTCCTCTTCCTCCATGGTCACGTCTGTCCTCTTCCTCCATGGTCACGTCCGTCCTCTTCCTCCATAGTCACTGTGACGTCTTTTATCTCCAGCAGATGATGATACACACATATTATAGTGGTGGGAACCCAGATTAACCCCTTCAGGGCAGAACATCCCCCACTTCCGGGGCCGGGACATTCTCCTCATTGTGGTGAGGTGGTCTTCTCATAGGAGTGAGCTGAGCTCTCCTGGGTTCGGTTCCAGTGTTGCTCAGTGAACTGGCTGAACTCAATCCTTCCTGAAGTCAATGGGAGCCAATGCACAATAGTTGGGCTAATAGACAAGGGGGTGTCAGACAATCACCCTGAGGGACATGTACAATGCAGGAATCCAGTTGGCCCGGGAGCAGGGAGGTTTTAAATGGTTAAAGTGAAACATTATAAATGCCCAACACCTTTAAATGACATTTCTGTGGATGTGGGAGTGTCCTAATCTTGGTAGGTGGTCCTAATCTCGGGGGGGGGGGGGGGGGTGGGGGTGTTTCCTAATTCTGGTGGAGAGGTTGTCTTAAAATCCTGAGGGGATGTCCTGATCCTGGGAGGGTTGTCCTTATCCTGGGGGGTATCCTAATCATAGGGAGTGTCCTATTCCTAGGGGGGTGTTCCTAATCATGGAGATGTCCTAATCCTGGGAGGTGCCCTAATCCTTGGAGGTGCCCTATCCTGGGAGGTGACCCCTAATCCTGGGAGGTGTCCTAATCCTGGGGGTTGTCCTAATCCAGGGAGGTGTCCTAATCCTGGGGGTTGTCCTATCCTGGGGGTTGTCCTAATCCTGGGAGGTGTCCTAATCCTGGGGGTTGTACTAATCCTGGGAGGTGTCCTAATCCCCCCCTGTGAAGGGACATCTCTGTGATGTACAGAAAGTGCTGCAACAGTGCTGACACTGTCAGTGTTTATCCATTTGTCTACCAACAACTTCCTCGTTTACAGGGAGAGCACGCCACCCCTTGCTGCTCACACTGTGGTTGG